AAAGTGAATGCGAGGACGTAGTGCAGAGGTTCCGGGCCAGCCCTCTACCTCTCTGAGAAGTCCCCTGGCCTTCTGCTCTCTCATCTAAGGGACCAGGCCTGGAAAGCAGAAATAAAGGAGGCAGCTGAGTCCCTTTTTATCAAAGCTGACACTGACTCAGTCCTAGGCATGCTGAAGTTCAGGAACATAAACCACTGGGGAAGGGGACAGAGCCAGGACCAGGTGGGGGAGAAAGCGGGCAGCAGAGATGCCAGGCATAGCAGTGTCACCACTCTGTCACCTGCCCGGTTGGCAGAAGAACGCCAGGTAGGACTGGCAGTCCAAGGGGCAGGGAAAGGGCCTACAGGATGTCAGGGCTCCAGCAGGTGAGCGGGGCCTCTCTGCCCAAGGGCATAAAGCAGCTGCCCATCCCCCTTGTGAACTGAACAACCCCAGCAGGCCGGGGAGGGGCAGGCCCCAAACAGATGGGTCCCAGGTATGAGATCTGTCCTGAGCCCAGGCAGACACCTGATGAGGCTGAGCCAGTTAACTCCTGACCCAGGGGTAACTAGAGGGGGTGAGGGCCAGGGTAGTGGGGGTTGAAATGTTCCATAGAAGTGTAGGTGCTCCCTCCTCCCACCCTCCCCGCTTCTCTCCCTCACCCTTCACTCCTCTCTAGCAAACCTGGCTGGGCCGCCCCAGCTGCCTCCTCCCATCCTCCCCTCCTTCTCCCAATTAAAAAATCTATTCTGTATTTCCTCCATGCAGCACCCTTAATATTAGGTCTGAAAACAATTTGCAATCAGTTGCACTCATTAATCTAATTGAATTTAATTTCCTTTTCTTGGTGTTAGGGGTGAGTGAACTCCATATGCTGACTTATGTAAAGCAATATGCAAATTTGTATCTTGAGCCCAGAGCCCTGCAAATGTTTTTGATTACCAAAAAAAAAAAAAAAAAAAAAAAAAAGCCATGCCGAGGCCCCAGGGAAAAGCACCACTGCAGTTTCTGGCCTCACACCCCTTTCTTCCAGCGGCCTAGACACAATATCCCCTTGCTGTGCCCGCTGGTAGCTTGGTCACCCTTGTTCCTGCACTCTCAGGACCCTCGAAGGGGTCCCTAGGAAACTGAACATCATCTTTCCTACTTTAACTCCCCAGAATCTGAGTTCTTTCCTTTGTTATGCTGCTGCTTGTTCTCCCTCAGCCCCTCATTAAGCTTAGGAATGGATTCTAACTTTTGCTGGAAAGTCTGATGAGCATCTTGTTGGTGAGACATTCTGCTTAGGGAGGTGGAGGACAGTGCCTTGCCAGCTGTCCCAGATCCTTCCAGCAGAGGGCAGTGCTTGTAGGGCTTGAGTGGGGAGCCCAGCCACAGTGCAAGGATACCAGGCAAGCACCCCAAGGACTCCTCTCAGCTCCCACGGAGACAGGATGGTGTTACCCATGGATGACAACGGAACAGAGGTCTCATGAGCCTTGTCTAGCCGTGAATGAGTCCCAAGTCCTTGATGTAGCCCTGCCCTGAAGGGCTGCCACGTGGGCATCAAGGCTGGGAGTCATGGAAGGGCTTGTGCCCCTGGTGCTTCTGCTCTGTTAGAGTGTGATTTTTGGATTTGCTTCAGAATAACTCGGGGTGGGGAGGAGGGGGAATTATTACACGGAGTAGAGAAGGAGCAAGATTGGCCATGAGCTAAAAATGGTTAAAGGTGATTCATTGGGATTTATTATACTTTTCTGTTTCCATATTTGTTTGAAATTTTCCATCTTAATTCTGAAGCTGGATCCAAGATCTGGCTTTTCTGCTTCCCAGTGGGTGGGAGCTTATAGAGCAAAGGAGAAAAGCCAAAGGGGGCCTAATTATCAGCTCCCGTCACGCCTAGACCAGTGTGGATGGAGGCTACGCACACTGTCTTCCCGCCTCCCCAGGCAGGGTAAGGGAAGGGCAGTCTGTGGCGCACAGAGGGCGGGGGTGGCGCTGTCCCAGCCAGCTGACCAACCTGTGGTTCCCCGAGGACGCTGGTTTGGCCCAGAGAAGGACAACGCTCCTAGCAGTAGGTTCCAGACAGTAAAACAGCAATGAAATGGACCAGGGTGTGGAGGACAGATTGGAAAGGGAGGCTAAGGGGAGAAAGTCCCATCTAGGGAGTTTGTGATGATTTTGTAAGAGAAAAAAAAAAGTGAGGGTTTGAATACCACAGGACTGATGGCTATGGGCAGGAAGGCACAGATGAGAAACTTCCCCAGGAACAACGCATAACATTTAGGTTCATCTATCTGTGAGATGCTCGGGCAGGAAGATTTGAAGATTGTCCCAGCATGCCCAAATGGTGGGTGAAATCCCTCTTGAAGACAAAGAGTGCAGGTCGGGGAGGAGGTTAGGTGGGTTGAGAGGAAAGATAAATGTTTTTTTCTTAGACAAATTTAATTTCAGGCACAATAAGAACCCAAGTGGAGTTCTTCAAGGAGGTTGGGAATTTGAATCAGGAATCCCAAGAGGAGGTAAGAGCCGGAGGGAAAGATGTGGAAGTCATAGGCATGTAAGTGTGTGGGAATCCTGGGAGAGAAGCCCAGGGAAGTCCAATGTTTAAGGGGCAGTAGGAGGGAATGGGGACAGCAAAGGCTGAGAGAGAAAATGAAACCCGGAGAGGAGAGAGTTCTCGGAAGGGCATTTAATGATGCCACATTCTGCAGAGAGGACTCATGAAATCAGTGGCACAAAAAGATTTCACACAAAATTGGATGCGCTGCATTTCCCAACAAAGAAGTCACCACTGACCATGGCAAGAGTTTGAGGAATTTGTGTGAATGCACATCCCTTGCACTCAAAAGTCACATAATACTTAAGAAATCTTTTTTTTAAAATAGAAGCAATTTCCAAGTCTAGGTCTATTATGCATGAAATCCATACTCTTCCCTAAATCCTTCCTTCCCTCCAGAATGTTAAATATACTTGAGACATTATTCAAAGTTCTTCAGAACAGTGAGGAATTTTCCAATTTAGCCTCTGATGGGAGGATGAGTTTATTAGTAAGAATAAATCCAGTTGAGAAGGCAGGGAGTAGAAGGCAAAGACTGATGAGTTAAGGACAAGTTAAAAGAGCCCCAAGGTGCTTTCAGCCCCTCCCTCCTTAGTGGAGGACTTCACTTCACCATTGCCAATTTTTTAAATCTTATGCATTATTCAATATTTCGTTCAACCAAAATTTATTAAGGGTGGACTATGTGCCAAGTACATATCACATGCTGCAGATAAGATTTTAAAAATTGATTAAGACCAATTTCAGCCATTGAGGAGTCAGTGTCCAGTAGGGAATTTGGAAGTCTCCAAAATGGGGGATTTTATCACTGGCTCAGAGAACTGAAACAGGCGTGGTCAAGGAGCTTAGACAGAGCTGAGCCCCAGTCCCCTCACTGAGCCAAGCTCCTCGCACAAGGCCTCAGCTGCCTCTCAAATACAGGCTCTGATTTTGCAGGACGTCATACTTGACCCTGCATCAGTGCAGGAAGGCTTCAGAGGAAGCCAGATAAAGGCATCAAATTCTGTGCCTGGCTCATGTGCCAGTGGCTACCTCACCTAGAGTTAAGAGCCTACCAAAAGCCCTTTATTAAAAATTTTCATTGCCCATTCCCAGACTCTTGTCAGTTCTGTTATCTCTACCAGGGAGAAAGCAAGCCTCCCTTTAAGACTCCTGGTGGTCCCCACGTGGGACAAGGGGCATTTCAGCCAGATTCTTTGGGTCCACAGAGTGGGGCTCTGCTGCCAAGGGTCTGAGAGTCTGTCTACTTTGAAACCTTCCTCGGTTACCAGTTTCTGGAGATGGCTGATGGTGTTCTGGCTCCCCTGCATTCGAGAAAGATTAGATGGTGGAGGAGAATGATGTCTCTGTCCTCATATGATAAACACAACAGAGAAAGGTGCAGGCATAGAGGTGGTAGTGGGGAGGGTGTTAAAATTCTTGGGCAGAAAATAAAAGCTGAGCCAACTTCCTTCCCTTTGAGGTGCATCCGAAGGAGGAATGTAAGGGCCTAGGAAACAGTGCTGGAATAGGATGAGGAGGGTGAGTCACTCACCTCGGAAACAAAATTTAAGGGGCTACCAAGAATTCAATGATCATGATAAATCACGTTTTAATACAAGATTATTTTTTAAAAAGCTAATTCAAAAATTTACAATGAAGAAAAGTGCAAAACTTGAAGTAAAGATAGTATCAAGAGGATGGTTCAGATAGTGGAGTTGCCCCAACCTAGATAGGAAATGCTGAGGTTGTTCCCAGGATATGTCTCTCTTTCTGCACCATAAAATCCAATTGAGTTTCCTCCTCCTGCTTGAAAACCTCCCCTGTTCCTCAAAGCAGCAAGACAACTCTTTATATAATGTAGGTGCAGCCTCTCCCACTGCCCAGCCCACTCTAGCCACAGCAACCTCCTCCTGTTCCCAAGATAAACGATCTCTTTCCTACCCCAGGACCTTTGCACTTGCTGATTCCTCCATTGTTCTTTCCGCCAGCTCTTCTTGTAAGAGACTTAGGGTCATTCTTCAAGTCTCAGCTCAAGTGCCCTCTTCTAGAATACTCCCCCCACCACTGGATTTAAAATAGGGCTCCCTAACATACGATGATCACACCACCCTATTTGCCTCTTCCATAGCATGTTTCACAAGCTATAATCATCTCATTTACCTCTTCATTGTCTCCGCAACTAGAATGTAAACTCCTTGAAGGCAAGAACCTTGACTGTCATCCCTGTGGTACTGCAGATCCTAACACAATGCCTGACACACAGTATGGACTCCCTAAATACTTGTGACCCAAATGATTGAATACAGCTTCTGTTCAGGTGTTGCCTCCTCTGTTAATTCTCCCAGGATACATGTCCTCACCATCACCACCACAGAAGTCACTGCTTCAATCTCTGGGTCCTCAGAGCACTTTGTGTATATTTGTATTACTGCATCCCACCTAGCTGTGCACATTAAACACTGATCTCCTGGAAGTCAGGGCCTGAGTCTTACTCACCTTGATATCCTTGAGCCAAGCACAATGCCCAGCACAGTGCCTGACAATAAATGCTCAAGTAAATATGAGCAAATGAAATCTACTCAAACCAAGGTAGCCAGGTGCACAGTAAATGTATTCTGGAAAAGTTCAGTCTAATTACAATGTTGTAAATCAAATAATATTTTAATGGCAATAGAGGAGCTCACTGTTTAAAGGAACTCTGTGGGGAATCCTACTGTAAGAGAATCACCCCCTTACTTGTCCTTTAGTTTTTAGAGTTTCATAGGTTAGATCAGGTTTGTCCTGAGCCTTTGCACGTTCTTTGGAGCTCTCAGATGTGAGGTGTCCTCAGTCCTGCACAGGTTATTGTTAGACCCTAAGAAACTTAGTCATTACCCTACTTGTATATTTCTGGGGATCCTCAAGGTGATCTCCAGCTTCCTTTATGGTTTTGTTTTGTTTTGTTTTTTGGCCTGAGAAAACACGGGCTTATGAGCTCCCTGGTCCAGGGAGAGTCTTTATTTGATCTCCACTCCCAACAGGGAGAGCTGTCATCTTGGAAAAAGCCAAATACCTATGGCCCAGTGCCAGGATGCTATATGACACACATAGTCAAAGAATGTAGGGGAGGGAGTACTAAGCAAAACCACTATTGCAAAATCTTTCCATTTAATGTGAAATGGTACAATATTTACTCTAATTTCTGTGAGAAGTTAAAGATTCCATTGTAATCCCTAGAAAATGAATGCAAAAAAGGCACAAGTGAAAAATCAGTAGAAAAATTGAAATGAAATAGAAATATTCAATTAACTCAGAAGTAGCTGGGAAAGAAGAAACAGAAAAACAAAAACTGATTGAATCAACAGAAAATAAATATCAAAATGATAGACTGTATTCAACAATATCAATTTTTATGTTAAAATTACATGGTTTAACATAAAAGGAAGAGATCATAAGAATGGATAAAAATCAACATCCATTTATATGCCGTCCACCAAGGGACACATTTAAAATATAATGAGATAGGTTGAAAGTAAAAGTCCAGAAAAAGGTATTACAGGCAAGTATGAATCAAAAAACATTGAAGTGGTTATATTAATATTATAAAAAGTGAGTTCAGGATAAAACAATATTATATTTCATAATGATAAAAGGATTGATTCATCAAGAAGACATAACAATAATAAATTTGTATGCACCAATACTGACCTTTTTGTAATTACAGACCTTCCAAGTATATGGAACAAAAATATAACATACCTAAATTAAACGGAGAACTAAACAAATTCAGTATTATCTTCTCAGTAATCGATAAAAACAGAGACAAAAAGCAGCAAGGACACAGAAGATCTGAACAACACTATAAGCCATTTAGATCGAATTGACATTTATAGGTTACTACACTCACAAATGTACACATTCTTTTCAAATGCACACAGAACAGTTACCAAGATAAAACATATCCTGAGATACAAAATAAATCTCAATACATTTCAAAAGATTGAACTCTTTCAGAGTATGTTCTCTAATGACAACAGAATTAAATTAGAAATTGAATATAAGATAGTATAAAAGCCTTAAATATTTAGAAATTAAACAGTGCATTTCCAAATAAATCATGAGTCAATGAAAAAATTCCAAGGAAAATTAGAAAATATTTCATCCTAAACAGTAATAAGAATATAATATAATAAAACTGTGATGCAGCTAAGGCAGCACTTAGAGGGAAATTCATTGCTATAAAGTCCGTATTAAAAAAGAAGAAAGGTTTAAAATTCATTACCTACATTTCTACCATAAGAAAAATGAGCAAATTAAACCCTAAGTAAATAGAAGAAAGGAAATTATAAAGATTTGAGCAGAAATTAATGAACTATAAAACAAACAATAAAGAAAACTAACAGAGCCAAAAGTTGGTCCTTAGAAAAGATTAATATAATCAATAAAACCTCTAAGAGTACTGATCAGGGAAAAAAGAGAGATAACACAAGTTACTATATCAGGAAAACACAAGCTATGTTAGGATCTGTTATCACTACAGATTCCACAAACATTAAAATGGTAATAAGGATATGTTATAAACAAGTTTATGCCAATAAATTTGATAACTTAGATGAAATGGACAAAATCCTTGAAAAACAAAATGCCAAAATTGACACAAATTTGAAAATTTGAATAGCCCTATATTAAAGACATTAGATTTATCTTAAACTTTTCCACCAACAAACTCTAAATCCAGATGGTTTCATTGCTGAATTTTTATCACCAGTCTTGTACAAACGTTCTCAGAAAATAGAGGAAGAGACATGCCCTACTGTATTTTACAAGGTCACCGTAAGTCTCAGAAAAATCTGGCAAAGTCTTTACAGAAAAGAAAATTCCAGATGATAGCCCTCAGGAACCAAATCATAAACAAAATACAGCAAGTCACATCCAGCAAGAAAGATAATTCATCTTGACTAAGCGGAGTTTGTCCCAGGAATGCAAGGTTGTTTCAACATTTGGAAATCAATGTATTTCATCACATTAACAGAATAGAGGAGAAAAATAATATGATCATCTCAACAGATGCAGAAGAAGAATTTGAGAAAATTCAACAATACTCAGCAATACTAAGTAAATTAGGGAAAGGTAGCTTTCCCTATTAGGGAAACACTTAAGACAGCCTGAGGTGGCCAGTGACAACCATGATAGTACAGGTGGGAAAAACTGAGGCCTTCTTTAACTGGACGAAAAACATGAGTGAAAGTGTCATGGTTTACGTTACACTTAATGGTGAACGTTGGATGCTTATTAAGCAACAGAGTCTACTGTTTATAGAGGGAGCTTTTCCAGTAGAAGCCTGATGGGCCTTGGGGGCAGTTATTGGTTAATTATTTGAGACTGTGGGGAAAATGGTCTAGACACATGTTCTCAGACTGCAGTGTTTACCTCTTCTTCAAACTGAAGAGAGAAATATGGTATGGAAAAATCTCTCATGAGTGATGAGTTTGGACAGAAACTTTGTTCATTGGTCCAGATACTTTCTGGGACCCACTATAGACAATGAGACCCTTAACCAAAATGTAAAATATGTGTATCCTTCAATCCAGAACATCCACTTCTAGGTTTCTAGCCCACAGAAACAGCAATATGTATGAGGATGATCACTGCAGCATTATCTGTAATGGGGAAAACCTGGAGGCAAACTAAAATTCTATCAATAGAAGACTAGTTAAGATTATGGAATACTACATAGCCAGTAAAAAGAATGAAGTTGATCTCAATGCAAAGACATGAAAAAATATCCATTATATAGTTCTTCTAAAAAAGAGCAACTTGATAGATAACATTTATAGTACAAACATACTTTTATTAAATAAAGCTGTTCATTTATAATTTATATCTAAAGCAAATGCTCAAAAGGATGTACTCTAAAATACTGATCATACCTAGCTTTGGATGGTGCCACTTGGATTATTTTAATTTTCTTTCCACTCTTATTTTCAAATGTTTCTACAAGAAGCGTTTTCTGAAGTGTGAGCCAGCATTTGTGCAAAATGGGTGAGATTATTTCCCTCCCAGGGAGATGGGGGGATGGTTCCATTGGAAGCCCTGCTGTGTGCCTTTGACAGGATGAGGCTTTTACCTCTTTTCCAATGAGAAGTATGATAATAATGCATTCCACAAAGAGTAATTGTGAGCATTTGTAAGTCCCTCTGTGTTGATACACACATTCCCATATAGTTCCCAGGAAGTCTTGTGTGTTGATCAGGGGAGCAGGCAGAGTGTGAAGCATCACACACACTACACATCACAGCACATCACACCCCCCCACCACACCCCTTGCATGCATGCCTAGTACTAATGATGACTGAGCACCTCCTGGGGACTGAGTCCTGTGCTGGGTGCTTTATATGTGTTATTTCTAATCCTCCACAAAGCCCTGAAAAGCATGCATAATTCAACACTCATTTTATTTAATACATATTTACTGATCATCTACATTCAGTGTTGGGGATACAGCACTGAATAAAAATGACAAAAATTCCTGCTCCTTCTGTAGTCAGTCTTGTGGGAAG